GCGCGCGTGGCTCCGGGCTGGCGTACGAGCCTGCGCCCGGGAACCACGGGCAGCTTTTCACTCGCTTGGCAGACACCGCGGCTCTGCCCTCCGGCACATCCTGCCCAGACTTCAGGGCTGGAGAGGATTAGGCTCAATGTATCAGGGGTGGAGAAGGCTGGAGGAACTAGAAAGAGCCCGGGGATTTAACTTCCGGGGTCGGAGGCTGGTCTGGAGCAGGTGAGGGCGCGCTCTCTACTGCCACCTGGTGAAGATATCGGAACTGCAGGACCCGCCGTTTCTCTGCCCCCCCCCGGAGCATGGTTGATACTTCTGGAGGAATTTTGTTTTGGGGGCTGTTCCAGGCTCTGGGGATAGAGCAGTGAATAAAACAGATGAAGTTGATGCCCTCATGGGGCTTACTTCCTAGTAAGTAATAACAGGTAACATTCACTGTTGTACCTGTTGCTGTTATAAGTGTTTCTTTTTTTGTGTGTGTGTTTTTTTTAATTTATTTTTTTGATTTTTTACAGAAAGGAAGGGAGAGGGATAGAGAGTTAGAAACATCGATCAGCTGCCTCCTGCACACCCTCTACTGGGGATGTGTCCGCAACCAAGGTACATGCCCTTGACTGGAATTAAACCTGGGACCTTTCAGTCCGCAGGCTGACGCTCTATCCACTGAACCAAACCGGTCAGGGCAGTGTTTCTCTGTTTTATCTCTTCTGATACTTTCATACTTGGGTTATCGCATATATAGTTCAAATTCAGATTTTACCAACTGTACCCAAACGGTCCTTCACAGCACTTCCCCCCGGATTTAGACTCCAATTTAGGATTATATACTTGTTAGCGGTCATGTCTCTTTAGTCTCCTTCAATCTGGAATAGTTCTTCAGTCTTCCCTTGACATATTCTTAACATATGACACATATAACCAAACGCATACAGAACTAAGCTCCAGTTCTTCTACTTCAGGCGACTCTTGTCACTGTCAGCTACTGAATGGCAGGTAGGTGGCATCAGAACACAGCTTCGTAACCCTGTATGATCCTCTCACATAAATCAAAGGTATGTATTTTACATGTAAGGAAACTAACTGAAGCATTTAAAGTAAGTTGCCTAAAATTCCACAGCTAAAAAAAAAGTAACAAAATAAAATTCACCCTGATTAATTTTACCCTCCTTTGGATCCCTGCTATACAAGCCCAGTCATTTTACCCCAGAAACTTCAGTCACTCAAAACAAAATACTTTTATTTTGTATGCAAAAAACATTGAAATCAGAATTATAACAGCACTTGAAAGTGTTTTTGAGAAAGGGTTTCCTATATAAAACTTCAATACATTCCTACTAATACAAGTTTAATGTGAAATATATCTTGTGTCTATAACCAAATTTCTAAGACTAAAAAGATACTCAGACCCCAGTATAAACCATTTTTGTCCTTTGGAAGAGGAGTGGCTGGGAAAGCAGAGACCCACTTTGAGGCACCGTCCTCACAAAATGTAGTCTATGCTGGAGGAACGGGTGGAGTGCTGGTAGGAGGAGGATGGTTTCTCCCCCATATCCTTGATGATTGGCCTCCCCAAGAAGAGGAAGATGTGGTTGCAACTTTTCTGAAATATTTCTGAGAGGTGTTTCTTGAACTTCTCACCCACGAAAGCATAAATAACAGGGTTCACGCAGCAGTGGGTGAAGGAAATGATTTCTGTGACATGGGTGGCATAAATCAGCTGCTGGCTCATGGCACATCCATCCAAAACCTGCAGGTGATGCAGGGAAGTGAGGAAGAGGACCACATTGAATGGGACCCAGAAGACTAAAGATGCAATCACCACGATGAGTACCAACTGGATGGCCTTGGTCTTGTTCTGGTTCTGGCAACTCTTGAGCTGGTGCAGGATGCTAATGTAGCAAAACATTAGGATGGTGAATGGGATCAGCAGGCCTAAGATATTTATTTCAAAGTGGGTGAAGAGCTTCCACTTTAAAGTCTGGTGATTGTAAGACGAATAACACTGGAGGATGCCATCTTCAGAGGCCACTTGGTAAAATACTAGCAGTGGGCTGGTGGCCATGACGGCGATCAGCCAGACTCCCAGGCTCAGGGCTGTGCCCATTCTGGCTGTCCTCACGTTCATGGCATACACAGCATGGACAATTGCCAAGTACCTGTCCACGCTCATGAGGGTGATAAAGAACATGCTGCTGAAGAAGCCAATGTAATAA